TGCGAATGGGTGGGTATCGCAATAAAAAGAACTCGCATTCTGATAACTTAAACATAGATCTGTACAGACATTTTTCAAAATCGCAATAATTAAACTCGCATTTTTGTTCATTCTTGAAAAGTCGCAATAATAAAAGCACGCAATAATTTCTGAATTTACAGTATCAAAAATAATTTTTTCATCATAAAAAAATCTACTTTTTACATAACCTTAGTCAGTTTAACAGTAAAGTTAAAATATCCAACAAAGAAATACTGAACTAATTTGATATTGTATATCATCTGTATAGCAAAGTTTAATAATATGCTTAAAATATTACATTGATTAAAATGCCATATTTATAACTGAAAACAAGAATTTAAAACCATGGCTATACTGTGTCATTAACTTCAAGATGAGTAATAAAGATTAATATTTATACTGTACATGTTGTACATGTTTTAAATATTGGGGTCTTAAGTGAAAAAGGTCAAATGTTTTGTAATCTTTGAGATTGTTACTCTTCTCATGCTATTATTGCACATAAATGTATCAGTATGGCCAAAAACATTGAGTAAAGTAATTTTTTGCACTCCACTCTGAAGTATCTGTATTATAACAAAGTCAATGTAGGACTTTCTTTGAGATATCATTGTGTCTGGGAGACACAAATGATGCCCCTGCAGATGCAAAGTAATATTTTAAAATACACAAAGCTGAGCATGGGAGCACATAGATATAAGAAGATGTGGTATGAGTGCAAATGAGACAACTCTCCATCCAAGTCACAATTTGTAAAAGTAAACTATTATAGGTCAAAGTACGGCCTTCAACATGGAGCCTTGGCTCACACCAAACAGCAAGCTATAAAGGGCCCCAAAAATGACTAGTGTAAAACCATTCAAACAGGAAAACCAACTGTCTAATCTATGGTTCACTGTATGAGGAGTTATCCAGAAATGCTATGCACCTCTTATGTGAGTATATACTCCAAAAATGACAAAGTTCAACTATCTCCCAAAAGAGCAAATATTAATAACAAGAGTGCACATGCTGTAAAAGTCAGATAAACCAAGCCGGAAATACATGTACACCTTTAAAACAATCATTCCATACACTGAATATAGATGACCTATTGCTTATAGTATAAAAGAAACAGACCAAACCATGGAAATTCTATACTGACCAATGAACCATGAAAATGAAGTCAAGGTCAGATGAACCCTGCCAGACAGACATGTAAACCTTAAAATCATTCCATGCATCAAATATGGTTGACCAATTGCTTAAAGTATCTAAGAAAAAATTTTGTACTTAATCTGTATTATGTAGTAATAAGCACTGTGTATAAGTTTCATAACATTTGGTTGAGGCAAACTAAAGTTAGAAAACGGAAACAAAAAATTTGCACTTGATCTTAGTTTTGTGGTAATGAATATTGTGTATAGGTTTCATAATGTTTGGTTGGGGCAAACTTAAGTTACAGAATGGAAACTAAAAATTTTGCAATCTTTCGATTTATAAAGGGGCATAACTCAATAATGGTTAAAGTGACACTACCCAAATTCAACTTGATCTGTGTTTTATCAGTGAAGTCAAAATTAAACATTGCATTGTATAAAGCATTGATTGTTGTTGGTTCAACTATAATCATTGACAAAGGAAGATAACTCCCAATTTTAAAAATTACTTGATATTTAGAAGAAAATAAAAATTTTGCAATTTTTCCATTTGCAAAGGGCATAACTCTAGAACAGTAAAAGTGACTCCACCAAAATTCAATCTTGATCTGTGTTTAGTGGTAATAAGCATTGTGTATAATTTTCATATCATTTGGTTGAGGCAAACTAAAGTTAGAGAACAGAAACGATAAATTCAGCAATTTTTCCATTTGTAAAGGGGCATAACTCTAGAAAGGTAAAAGTGACGCAACCAAAATTCAAACTTGATCTGTGTTTTGTGGTAATAAGCATTGTGTAATTGTGTATAAGTTTCATAACATTTGGTTGAGGCAAACTAAAGTTAGAGAACGGAAACGATAAATTCAGCAATTTTTCCATTTGTAAAGGGGCATAACTCTAGAACGGTAAAAGTGACGCCACCAAAATTCAAACTTGATCTGTGTTTTGTGGTAATAAGCATTGTGTATAAGTTTCATATTACATGATTGAGGCAAACTAAAGTTAGAGAACGGAAACCAATTTTGGGACATACGTACGTTCGTTCGTACATACAGATGGACAAGGGTAAAACTTAATGCCCCCTCCGCTACCGCGGGGGCATAACAAAGTTAACCAGGAAAACTGAACATTAACCAATCAACCATGAAAATGAGGTGAAGATCAGATGATACCTGCCAGACAGACATATACACCTTACAATCATTCCATACACCAGAAAAAGATGACCTATTGCTTAAAATTTAAGAAAAACAGACCAAAACACAAAAACTTTACATAAGCAATGACCCATGATAATGAGGTCAAGGTCAAATAAAACCTGCCAGACTGACATGTACATCGTAAAATATTTCCATACAACAAATATAGTTGACCTATTGCATACAGTATTAGAAAAACAGACCAAAACACAACAAGAGTGCACACGCTGAAATGTCTCGCCTTCTTTACTAACCATTGATATTATGTTGATAGTCCTAAATGAAAGCTTTACTACAACTATTACATAAACTTAACATGATCCAAGAAAATGAAGTCAAGGTCATATAAACCAAACGAGAAATACATGTACACCTTACAATCATTCAATACACTAAATATAGTTGACCTGTTGCTTATAGTTTCTAAGAAACAGACTTATCCAACAAAACTAAACATTGACCAATGAATCGTGAAAATGAGGTCAAAGTCAGATGAACCATGCCAGGCAGACATGAACAGTTTACAATCCTTCCATACAACAAATATAGCTGACCTATTGCTTATAGTTTAAGAAAAACAGACTGAAACACATAAACTTAACACTGAGCAATGAACCGTGAAAATGAGGTCAAGGTCAAATAAAACCTGCGAGACTGACATGTACATCATAGAATATTTCCATACAACAAATATAGTTGATTTATTGCATATAGTATAAGAAAAAAGACCAAAACTCAAAAACTTAACTTTGACCGCTGAACCATGAAAATGAGGTCAAAGTCAGATGACACCTGCCAGTTGGACATGTACACCTTACAATCATTCCATACACCAAATATAGTAGACCTATTGCATAAAGTATAAGAAAAACGGACCAAAACACAAAAACTTAACTTTGACCACTGAACCATGAAAATGAGGTCAAGGTCAGATGACACCTGCCAGCTAGACATGTACATCTACAATCATTCCATACACCAAATATAGTTGACCTATTGCATACAGTATAAGAAAAACAGACCAAAACACAAAAACTTAACTATAACCACTGAACCATGAAAATGAGGTCAAGGTCAGATGACACCTGCCAGTTGGACATGAACACCTTACAGTCCTTCCATACACGGAATATACTAGACCTATTGCTTATAGTATCTGAGATATGGACTTGACCACAAAAACTTAACCTTGTTCACTGATCCATGAAATGAGGTCGAGGTCAAGTGAAAACTGTCTGACAGGCATGAGGACCTTGCAAGGTACGCACATACCAAATATAGTTATCCTATTACTTATAATAAGAGAGAATTTAACATTACAAAAAATCTTAACTTTTTTTTCAAGTAGTCACTGAACCATGAAAATGAGGTCAAGGACATTGGACATGTGACTGAAGGAAACTTCGTAACATGAGGCATCCATATACAAAGTATGAAGCATCCTAGTCTTCCACCTTCATAAATATAAAGCTTTCAAGAAGTTAGCAAACGCCGCCGCCGCCCCCGCCAGATCACTATCCCTATGTCGAGCTTTCTGCGGCGACAAAAGTCGCAGGCTCGACAAAAACTAAACTATGACCACTGAACCATGAAAATGAGGTCAAGGTCAGATGACACCTGCCAGTTGGACATGTACACCTTACAATCATTACATTCACCAAATGTAGTAGACCTATTGCTTATAGTATCTGAGATATAGATTTAACCATGAAAACTTAACCTTGTTCACTGATCCATGAAATGAGGTCGAGGTCAATTGAAAACTGTCTGAAAGGCATGTGGACCTTGCAAGGTACACACATACCAAATATAGTTATCCTATTACTCATAATAAGAGAGAAATTAACATTACAAAAAATCTTAACTTTTTTTTCAAGTAGTCACTGAACCATGAAAATGAGGTCAAGGACAGTGGACATATGACAGACGGAAACTTCATATCATAAGGCATCTATATACAAAGTATGAAGCATCCAGGTCTTCTACTTTCTGAAATATTAAGCTTTTAAGAAGTTGGGTAAAGCCGCCCCCTGATCACTATCCCTATGTCAAGCTATCTGCGACAAAAGTTGCAGGCTCGACAAAAATCAAAACCCTGACCACATGCACACCTTCAATATGTACAAACAGCCAGCAAAGTGAAAACTTCCTAGCATTCAAACTGTAGGAGGAGTTATCCGGAAATGCTATGCACCTCTTCTGCAAGTATATACTCCAAAAATGACAAAGTTCAATTATCTCCCAAAAGAGTAAATATTTATAAAAATCAAAACCCTGACCACATGCACACCTTCAATATATGTACAAACAGCCACCAAAGTGAAAACATCCTTGCATTCAAACTGTAGGAAGTGTTATCTGGAATAACTATATACCCATAAAGGGATGGACAGGGTTAAAACAATATGCCCCCCAACTTTCAGTAGCGGGGGCATAAAAACATACAAATATTAAACAGCAGTTGTAATTGTTGTTTTCAACAGCAGAAATCAACTTTTTCTTTATTTTGCAATTAAATCTTTTTTTTCTTTTTGGCCAGCAATCAGCTCTAATCTTCAGCAATCTAACCAGTTACATTACTGAAAATCTTATAACTATTGTATATAACTATATATACTATTAAGTATGTAAATAGTCTTACCTGCGATTTCAATGAAGGCAGCAATGTTTTTAATTTTTCTACCATCTGTATTTCTCGCACTATAGGGTCTAAATGGTCTTCTCCAAAAACATCAAACATGGCATCTAAAGATTCTGCTATCACCCTCAGATCATTCTCCTTACAACATATCTCCAATAAAAACATACCAACATCCTGTATTTAGATTAATGAAACAGATGTACACTGTAGAATTATTAGTCGCTTGAACAAAATTCTTTAGACCTTACCCATCATGACCCCAGTTTTCTGTGGCATTTTCCTACTCTCCTTCTTGCTTACATATTTTTCAGTATTAACATAATTGGTAAATCATATTATTTTTATCCTGTATATACATAAAATATTTGTAATAGATGTTAATCAAAACATTTCCATCAGAAAGTTGCCTCCACAGTTTAAATAAAAGTTAACTTAGTTGTAACATATTCTAAAAGCATTGTTTTGTTATTGTGGCTTTATCAAACTAAAGCATTCTTACAAACTTAGAGGCAACTTTTTCATAGTCATGTACCTAACTATGTTTTAGAATTTTGATTATTTTTTCAATATTTTCTTATTTAACTTGTAGTGGGTGGTAGCCATGTTTGCATGTGACGTAGCTTGTCAACAATGGTATTAAAAAAAGTAGGGCAAAATGTATAATAATTTTTGAGGCAGTTGACTCTAAAACAATTAAGGTCATTTTTTCTATATCAGTAATTGTGTTGGTCATGTTTTCAGGGAGTTAAGGGTAAAAAGCAATGATTCTTAAAGGATTTTACTTCTTAATAAATGTGTATAGTGTCCACATGTGGACACAGATGATGCCCCCGCTTGCATATCATATAGTTATTAAGGACATAACTGAAGCACAGTAAAAGTGACGCTACCAAAATTTGAACTTGATCTGAGTTTTGTGGTAATAAGTATTGTGTGTAAGTCTCATACACAGGCAATTTTTTCCAACGTGATTTTAACATGGGAATCACGTGATATTCACGTTGTCCACACCACGTGAGTACAACGTGAAACGAGCAGAAACGTAATATTCACGTTGTGAGCACAACGTGAAATAAACGTTTGTCACACGTGATATTCACGTTGTATATAAATCCACATAATATCAACGTGATAATACAACGTGATATTCACGTTTAATATAAAGCCATGTGATATAAAAGTGATAATACAACAAGACTTCTATGTGAAGCAGCCACTAGGAAAAATGAAATATTGTCTTTGTTGCTCTCATTGACATATCATTTTTTGTTCTTGGTCATTTCTATTTGAAGATGTTTCTCTGGTTCTTTATGGTAAAAGTACTGTAAAAGTGAGTTATACATCAATAAATTGTCTTATATTGATTATCAGTTACCTCATATGCATGTTTTATTAACCTGTTATCATCCTGAATATGTATGTAATATTTGTGGCTGGATGTTTAGCATCCATTAAAACTTATATATATATATATATAGATATATATAAATCCAAATCTTATTTAAACCATGAGACTATTTCTACATGTTTGAAACCTTTCGAATCTTCCTGTTAGTATTTCTTTTTTTGTGTGTTTGAAGTTCTTGCTTTATAATCGCGTTTGTTTGACAATTCATAAAAAATCTAAAAGTATGAATACCAATGTCAAAGTCAGCTACATTTTAAATTTATACAATGTTTGAAAAGAAGTCGAATTCGAAATTGCACAACAAATAATGCAAAACCAAATGTATACCAAACAACAATTCAATACAGACTAGCTATTTTACAATGTTCATTCTACAAGAGTTGTGTCCCTTGCAGGTTTACCATGACAAATCTAAAAATAATCAGCTTATGATTAAAAAATTGTCCCTAACAGAGGCATATGTTACCAAATGTTAAAAAAAACAAAACACTTTACACATTAAATTCAATTATATTTGTATTTAAGAATATTCTAAACAGTTAACATTTGAAAAGTTACTGAAATAGTAACAAATAATATTTGATTGTTCCGTCTTCTAAATGCTCCACTCTTTTGAAAGTTTCTTCATCTGAAAGGATAAAAAAAAGAATTTTATTTACTGTTATAATATTATCTTATTTAAGCATACATAATGAAAGCTTTATTTTACTTCTAATATGAGTGTTGCTTTTGCTTTGTAAACAACAATGTCATAAAATTCTCAATATATCTATAGTTTACAACCCTATTAAACATTATTATTATATACATATGCACTTTCATGGATCTACAATCTGTCATTTCCTGTATCTTGGCATTGCACCAGGTCATGTTTTTCTCTGATTGTTTATGATGTCTTTACACTAAATCCATTGGATGTTGGATGTGTACTGATTGATAATTTATTCTTAGATGCATTTTTTTTTTAAGTTGTTATTGGCTTTGAACTAGCTGTCAGTATCTGCACTCTCAGATTTGTACTAAGTGTCTTTTTGTTGTTGGGATGTACAAGTACCCATCCACGTCCACTCTGTGTTTTTGTTGTATGTATTTCTATTTGTATCCATCTGTTGAGTTCAGCCTTTTTCAACTGATTTTTTTAGTTCGTTCTAATGTTGTGCTGTTACACTGCTGTCCCAGATTAGGGGAGGGTTGAGATCCCTCCCAACATGTTTAACCCTGCCACATTCTGTATGTATGTGCCTGTCCCAAGTCAGGAGCCTGTAGTTAAGTGGTTGTTTGTTGTTACATATTTGTTTTTTTCGTTAATTTTTTTATACATTAATCAGGCCGTTAGTTTTCTCGTTTGAATTGTTTTACATTTGTGATTTATAGCTGACTATGCAGTATGGGCTTTAGTCATTGTTGAAGGCCGTACAGTGACCTATAGCTCTTAATTTCTGTGGCATTTGGTTTCTTGTGGAGGGTTGTCTCATTGGCAATCATACCACATTTTTTTTATATGTATCATAACTAATGTGGTGATTTGCCTGTGTAAAATTGAAATGAAAACTAGACAAAGTGACTCCACTCTGAAGTAACTGTATTATAACAAAGTCAATGTAGGACTTTCTTTGAGATATTATTGTGTCTGGGAGACACAATTGATGCCCCCGCAGATGCAAAGTGTTATTTTAAAATAACTATAACATTTAAACGCTTACACCCAAAAAATGACAAAAGTTCAACTATCTCCCAAAAGAGCAAATATTAATAAAAATCAAAACCCTGACCACATGCACACCTTCAATGTATGTTCAAACAGCCAGCAAAGCGAAAAATTCCTAGCATTCAAACTGTAGGAGGAGTTATCTGGAAACGCTCCTCTTATGAAAGAAAATACTCCAAAAATTGACAAAGTTCAACTATCTCCTAAAAGAGCAAATATTAATAAAAATCAAAACCCTGACCACATGCACACCTTCAATATATGTACAAACAGACAGCAAAGTGAAAACTTCCTAGGATTCAAACTGTAGGAGGAGTTATGCGGATTAACTATATACCCATAATGGGACGGACAGACAGGGGTAAAACAATATGCCCCCCAACTTTCAGTTGCGGGGGCATAAAAAAAACATGACTGAATGTACAGGGCCAAATAATCTCCATGGAAATGTGATGTGCCAATACTAATACAACTGAATACCAAATATCATTGGCCCATCACTAAAGGTTCCCCTTAAACTGACAAACATTTTTGGGGCCCTTTATAGATTGCTGTTCGGTGTGAGCCAAGGCTCTGTGTTAAAGACCATACTTTGACCTATAATGGTTTACTTTTACAAATTGTGACTTTGATGGAGATTTGTCTCATTGGCACTCATACCACATCTTCTTACATCTAATCACAAACTTATATGCTAAGTGACTTAAGTATTTCATTGTCCGTATCATTTCACGGTATGTATAAAACTTTTTTCTTTTTTTTTACATTCCTTTTGTTGTGTGATATCTAATAAATTTTGTATATATATATATATATATATATATATATATATATATATATATATATATATATATTCATTATATCTCAATTTCCCTTAAAATGACCTAATCACAAACTTATACATTGTTGAAACAGCACCCCTAGATCTAGCTTTTTCAAGGCAAGACAAAAATAATGAAAAAGAGAAGACAAAATTTTGTTCTTTATGTTTCTTAATTTTTCAATGTCTGTGTTGTTTTTACTGGTACTGTCTTGTCTATCCTTTTCATTAAAAATTTGCAAATTTCAAAACTTCACATTAGGTCAAGATTTATTGATTAATGGTTAAAAATTTACATTACTGATGCTTGATGAATATGGTGATATCTAAGTGTTAGATTAAGAGTCAATAACCAATCTGCTAGTTGCCTGATGCCTAATAACTTAGTATAACTTGGCAAAGATATTTTTTTGGAATAACACGATAGGTTTCACATGTGGAGCAGGATTAGCTAACCCTTCTGCATTATCTGAGATCACCAAGATTTTTAGTGCCGTTGTGGTGCTCAGTCTTTAGTTTTCTACATTGTGTATGCAGTTGCTTGTCTTTTAGTCGTTTTTTTGTTTTGTTTTATGGCGTTTGTCAGTTTGTAAATCGACCTTTGAGTTTGAATATATCCCATTGGTATCTTCTACCCCTCTCGATTATTAAAATCTACTATTCAAATGTCATTTAATTGCATCAACATGATAATCCATGATGAAGGTTTCATATATTAATAAATAAAAAAAAACTTTAACCAAAGACTGAACTTTAAATATAGCGGACTATACATTATGGATTTTTCTCATTGTTAAAGGCTCTATGGTTGCCCATTATTGCTTACATCCACTTTCTTTGAACTTTGGTGGATAGTTGTCTCATTGGCAATATCATACCTCATCTCCTCATTTTAATATTTCTATTATCACCAGTTTAATTCGCCCTTTCAGAATCTAAATAAATGCATTCTGTTCTGGGTAATATTTTCGAAAGCGTACACCAAAACGTTGTGATTGGTTTAAAAAGTTCTAAACAATAGAAATTCAACCAATGAGGTAATGTTATTTTCATTTTGGTGTACGAACAATTAGATTACCCATAATCCTTTAGATTCTGAAAAAGGCGAATTATTTCTTAATTATTCTTCCTTTCATTTTGCTTTGTCTAATTTGTACAATATACAAAAAAGATATTAATGTATTTACTTACATGTTCACCTATCAACAAAAAGGGCTTCCTTTTAAAGTCTGACTTGAATAGTGAAGGTGTAGCCTAGATCTGTTTGACTATTAAGCTGTAAATTAAAAAAAAATAACATCATTATGTCAATATGTGCTTAGGAACAGGATCAAACAAAGCAATAACGAGAAGAAAGGCATACATACATCTGGAAGTCTTAAAAGATTTTTTTTAGATCTCAATCCTTTGAGCCTTCTATTTAAATCTGGTCAATGAATTAAGAAATACTCAAATAGTTCATAAAATGAAAATAAGCCAAGAAAATGTTTTACTAAGGGCTATCAAAAAGTATAGTATACAGTTTTTATAAACAAAATGAAATTCTAGATATTCCTCAAGGTTCTGAGCATCAGTTTCAGATTACTGTTCAATTTTTATGTCAAAATCTTTTAAGCTATTGTTGCTGTCAACATGGTCAAATCTACAATTACCGGACCCTCATAACTTTATATATTTTAATTTGAATGAGCTGTCAATAAGACAATATATGAATTACTGAAACTCTAATATTCAATTATTATAATATAATTGACAATATATTATTATCTTCTTGAAAAGTAATGTTTGATGAGATTATAATCTTAATTTCAGGCATGCAAGTATAGAAATAACCTGCAGTATGAAGGATTTAATCAATATTTGGTTATGTTTTGTAACATCATTTTTGAACAATAAAGCCAAAAAATGTATACACATATTTGCTGTCTCCTGGCAGAAAGATAGGGTAGATAGATAAAATAATTGTATTTTTTATTTTTATTTTATCTAAATTATTAACATACTATATACAACATGTTCTGAACTTAAATGGTGCTTTACCAAACAAATTTTGACTTTTACCAGTACTTTACAAAAAAAAAAGCCAGAAAATATGGAAGTAAATCGAAAAGGAGACAAAAAAAAACAAACTTTATCATATTCTGACCTAAACATCAAACTTTATTTTAGTATACTTGAATAGGAAACATTTCTTGTTTAACTATTAAATTACCTTCAGCTTAATAACTTGATTACAACCAAAATACTACAAACTTCTGTAGCCAAATGTGATTCTCTGAAGCACTGCTAAAGTATCATGTACTTTATCCATCTTATATATATACATGACAGTATATATTTGCCTCAAATTCAGATTTTTCTGGAAAAATAAATATTCAAATAAATGTACATGAACATGAACTTTAGTCCACATATTATGCCTCCTTCTACTGACTGACAAACAAATGTCACATAATCATCTTTAGTAATGTTAATAATATGAACAGTATATACATGTAACATGTTATCATTAAAGATTAACATCATTGCATAGGGATTTTATGCTGAGTGACTTAAATATTTCTTTGTGTGTATGTATAAATCTTTCTTTTTTTCTTTCTTTATTTTACATTCCTTTTGTTGTGTGATATTTAATTAATTTTGTATATATATATTTATTATATCTCGATTATATGGGGCCAACTTGGACGAGTAGTCTAAGTAGTCGAACTTCTGTATCACCAGCCAGCAGCCAGTCAACACTAAGGTTACATGAGTTCAAATCCTGCACGTGGCAAGTGAACTTAACTCCAATCTTAATTGACTAGGATTGTCAGTTTTCCTACCAAAGGTCATGGTTTTCACCAGCTTCCTCCATCAATAAAAACTGGATGCCACAAAATAGCACCATAGTGTTAAAAGTGGCGCTAAACATTAATCATTCAATATCTCAATTATGAGAAAATAAAGACATCAATGAATCAATAAATGTCCATTAGTTTGTTTTTTTTTTATTATTAGCATTAACAGTAGTTTTTTTGGTATAATGATTCCAATTATGCAATCTAATTGTACAGTGTGTTAAAAATTTAATAAACAGCTGCGATAGGACTGCACGATTACAAGCCCTCCAAATTCATATCAAATTTGTTTAAAGTATAAAATGAAATGTTGTAGAATCAAACATGATTTTATAAGTCATTTTTTATTTTTATTTTTTTAAAGGTAACAATGACAAATGAATGAGTTGCATCTGATGTCATGCCAAGTAGTCATATTATATTGGGGTGGTTGTAATTTCCTTAGAATTTCTTTAGAAAGATACTTCATTAAGTAAAATAAATTTTTATATTACGGGTGGTTGGTGTAAAAAAAGACCCTGTTAGATAATTCCTGAATAGCTCCAAGATATATCTATTGTTCATGTTGTTTAGTCACTTCTTAGGTACATTTGTATATGTACCGTATATATAGTTACACATTTAAATGATTATTCGATTCTTATCACCTTTTACATTTGACTTATCAATTTTTGTATGCATTACATAACGTCCTTCAGTTGTCCAGTGGCAAATATTTAATGCTAACATTCAGAACATTTTGTTCTGCAAAGTTACTTAAATATCATATGTAGCATTAATGTACAACAAATTATATCTATTCTTCCTCTGCACATATGTTGCAAGTCAAAAGGCATGTTGTTCTTTTTAAAGCACACTGTTTTATTAAATGCATTACATTTCATAGAATGGAAATAGTGCATACATATCTGTTGGAACTTTGCTGAATTGTCCTGGTAACGTTGAACTGGACATCTCTCCCTGTCACTTTCTTTCTCATGTATGGAATTTTCAAACAGATCCTCCATACTTCGTTCATGCCCTGCTTATTATCTGTCATATAGAAAAAAGAAATGCATAAATTTTAAGTATTTTTTTTACACATACAGTTATTGTCATAGTCTGTCAAACTTTAAATTGGGAACATTACAGTGAACTACCAAAATTGTGTGGTAAATATTAATAAGTGGAATAATGAAAGGTAATTGCCTGATAATTAACTCAAGTGTCATTCTATGATCATGAACAATCTTGACATATATTTAACTGGTGAAATAAAATGAGTTATGTGGTGTATGTCTATGACATGTGAAGTTTATATACCACTCCAGAAAAATAAGTGTAAGTGATCAATACATGTAGGTCCTCAGTTCCTGCAGCTGAATGTTAAGAAGCCCCTATTTATTTATTGAAGTCTTGTAAAAATCAAAACCCACATATATTTATGTCTAAGGATGTTCGTTCCTCATGTTTTTGAGTTTTTGCCAGATATTCAGAATCCTCTGGCTTTATCCATGATATTCTGACATTAAAAAAAATCCCAATAATCTCTACTTTTCTTTTCATAATTTTATTTTGAATAGATATATAAATATAAAATAATTTATCTATAAATACTAACTTTAGTTCTCTTTCATACTGGTGAAGTAAATCAGAGACATTATATATGATGTCTCTGAGTCAGTCTGAGTAAAATTGAGAATGGAAATGGGGAATATGTCAAAGAGACAACAACCCAACAAAGAGCAGATAACAGCCGAAGGCCATCAATGGGTCTTTAACGAAGCCAGAAAATCCCGCACCCCAAGGTTGGCCTCAGCTGGCCCCTCCATAATAATGTGTACTAATTGAGTAATTCAGTGAAAATGGACGTCACACTTAACTCCAAAACATATAAATGAACTAAAATTTAAAAACATACAAGACTAACAAAGGTAAGAGGCTCCTGACTTCGGAGAGGCAAAAAAATGCGGTGGGGTTAAACATGTTTTGTGAGATCTCACCCCTCCCCCTATACCTCTAGCCAATGTAGAATAAAGAAACACACAGCAATACGCACAGTAAAATTCAGTTTAAAACTTAAAAAAAGATATTTATTTTTTACAGAGATTAAATTATATACAAAATGCTAGTGCCTGTGGTAATTTCTTTCAAAAGTTGGGTATTACTATTAGTGTGATCATTTGGTCTTCATGATTAACTCATAAAAATCATACGGCCCAGGCATGTATAAATGTTGTCAGGACAGTAAAATTTTAATGAAAAAGGACCCACAAGTCACAAACCATAGGCCCTAAATGATTTAAATTTAAAGGAATTTAAAAGTTTATGACGGGTTTTTCCAATTTTCAGGCAGTCAAGTGTTTCATGAAGACTGTATTTGTTCAGGGAATGGTACGTTTTAATTAGCTATTGTACACAAACCTTCATAACATGGTTGTTAAATAAAATATACCTGTTATATCTTCAAGAGTATCTGCATTACTTTCCATTGCCACTACTGTGGTGTCAAAATTGGTGTCGTCCAAATGTGTCGTCTGAGACGCTCGTTTCTGTGAACCGTACGGGACAATTCTCTGAGAGACGAAGCACATCAATTCTCATTTAAACTGAAATTACCGATTGTATTTCATGTTTAAATATTCAAATAATTAATTAAATTAAATATTTAAATTATATCAAGCTACCAGCTGGATAACAAAACAATGTTAATAAATTGATTCCGCTTCTGGGTTACACACCGATTCCGAAATTTTTCAAGGTGTGCGGTATTTCCCGCGGTTATTTTTGGCAAGCAATCTCCTTGTCAATGTGATAACAGTCCATATGAAACTGACAGACTGAGAGTCTGTGTACTGTACAATGACGGAACTGTAGAAGTAAAAAAAAGTTCTGTCTCGGGTCTACTGTACTGTGTACTTGTGACTTTAAAAATATGCAGTGCAGGTAAGTTCGATACAGTTTTTTTTCTGATTTTTTTACCCTACGGCTACACTAAAGTTTAGTTAAAACATATATTTTATTTAAATAACCTTAACACAAATGCGATAAGACACAAGTCAAACCGATTTATGAACTCTTTTTCCATATTCAGTGGTGGATCCATAAATGACATAAATTTTAATAAAGGGGTGGGGGATGGCATTGATTGTCTAAGGTAAATCCCACAAAAGGGGGGCATTGACTGCCTAAGGTTAAGCCAACAAAAGGGGGCATTGACTGCCTAAGGTTAAGCCCACAAAAATGACTGCCTGAGGTTAAGCCAACAAAAGGGGGCATTGACTGCCTAAGGTTAAGCCCACAAAAGGGGGGGGGGGGCTGCGCATTAAATCTGTCTCTGATATTAGTACAGGTGAACATTAGGGGAATGACACGCTTTTGGGTTGTGGGATATCGAGGTTAAAAAAAAGGGGATTTTTCATATTGGGGTGAAAAAGTGGGGATGTGGGATTTAGTTGGATTCTTCAATCTTTGTCTTGATGACAGGATAATTCTCTTCTCTTGTTAAACGATATTTTCAGTTGTAATTTCTCCTTAATTTGTACTTCAGGGGGTTAAATCTAATTGATGATATCATGTCAGTCAGCTTTGAACAGCTATCTTTTATTTTATGTTTAGCTTACACATTTATGACATTACTACAAACTTGAGCTACATGTAAACAAATATTTAAGAGTAATATTTCTACTGTGTAATAAATAATACCATTATAAAAATGAAAGATTTTTTCCATCAATTGAATAATTTGATATGTTTTTAGGGATACAGCAAGTTCCCAAGTTCTTAGTTAATGAACAGTGAAAATTGTTGAGGAGCTCATTGGGGAAAAAAAAGAAATTAACAAAGGAAATGTACTTTTTCAATAAGGAGAAGAAGTAAAAGCAGCAGGTATTATATACTTATTTTATACTTGATTAACTTGGCTGTAACGGTCAAACGATTGAGATAAATAAATGAAAAGAAATGTCGTCTATATTTCAATGAATCAGCACCCGAACAAACAACAAAACCAGTAGAGGCATCTTTTGGATTAAAACAAAAAACAAAAAACTTCAATATACATTGTAAGTGTAATGTAAAATAAATAGGATGTGGTAAGATTGCCAATGAGACACTCTCTCCAAGAGACCAAATGATACAGACATTAACAACTATAGGTCACTGTATGGCCTTCAACAATGAGTAAAACCTATACTGCATAGACAGCTATAAAAGGCTACTAAATGACAAATGTAATACAATTCAAATTTGATTGTCTCTGCTCGTGAATATTATGTACCGGGTACATGTATCCGAGATTACCAAAGAATGGTCTTAGGCAGATATCCTGAAATGACTAAAAGGTTAAAGATATAAATAAAGGCTATATATATTAGCTTGTCCATGCAGCCTCATTATCTAAGCAGAGCAAGAGAACTTGTATTATTGTTTTTGTCCCGTCAATCTGACCGTCACAAAATTTTCTTCAGTATTACTGTAAACTTTGTATCAGGCATGCATTGAGTTTTGTCATTCTTCAGTGTTACTGTAAACTTTGTATTGAGTCTTGTCATTGTACATATATATTTAAATATATAAATGTCTAAGCAGTTTCTTATTTCATTGGGTATGGTAATATATCTTGGATTCAACCTTCAAAACTTTAATTTTCATCCTCATTTGCTTTTTCATCACTTCTTCCTTTAAATCCCATAAATGTAGTTTTTATTGTAAAGCCTGCGACTTTAGTCACTGAAAGCTCGACATAGGGATAGTGATCCAGCTGTGGCGGCGGCAGCAGCGTTAACTAACTTCTTAAAAGCTTTATATTTTAGAAGGTGGAAGACCTGGATGCTTCATAAATTGTATATAGATGCCTTATGTTACGAAGTTTCCGTCTGTCACATTTCCATTGTCCTTGACCTCATTTTCATGGTTCAGTGACTACTTGAAAAAAATGTTAAGATTTTTTGTAATGTTAATTTCTCTCTTATTATGAGTAATAGGATAACTATATTTGGTATGTGCGTACCTTGCAAGGTCCTCATGTCCCTCAGACAGTTTTCACTTGACCTCGACCCCATTTCATGGGTCAGTGAACAAGGTTAAGTTTTGGTGGTCAAGTCCATATCTCAGATACTATAAGCAATAGGTCTAGTATATTTGGTGTATGGAATGATTGTAAGGTGTACATGTCCAACTGGCAGGTGTCATCTGACCTTGACCGCATTTTCATGGTTCAGTGGTCAAAGTTAAATTTTTGAGTTTTGGTCTTTTTTTCTAATACTATATGCAATAGGTCAACTATATTTGGTGTGTGGAAATATTTTATTATGTACATATCAGTCTCGCAGGTTTTATTTGACCTTGACCTCATTTTCACGGTTCATTGTTCAGTGGTAAGTTTTTGTGTTTCGGTCTGTTCTTTAATTATAAGCAATAGGTCAACTATATTTGTTGTATGGAAGGATTGTAAGCTGTACATATCTGCCTGGCATGGTTCATCTGACCATGACCTCATTTTCATGGTTCATTGGTCAATGTTTAGTTTTCTTGGTTAAGTCTGTTTTTTAGAAACTGTTGGCAATAGGTTAACTATATTTAGTGTATTGAATGATTGTAAGGTGTACAAATATACATACTACAAGTATTTCTCGTTTGGTTTATATGACCTTGACCTCATTTTCTTGGATCATGTTAAGCTTATGTGATAGTTGTAGTTCAGCTTTATATTTAGGACTATCTACATAATATCAATGGTTAGTAAAGAAGGCGAGACATTTCAGGGTGTGCACTCTTGTTTTTATAATATACATGATATATTTATACAGTCGCAAATTTAAGTTAATGGATCTTTATGACACCACAAGGTTCCATACCTCAAAAGGAAGGTTGGTTTGATTTTGGGGGTTATGGCCTTAACCATGTTAACAGTTTAGGCATTAGGGGCCAAAAATAACACTTTGTTTATTCTTTGTACATGTATAAACTGCTTTTTTCTTGACCGATTTCAATTGTGTTTAATTCAAAGTCTTTATTTTATTTTTTCAAACCTTGTTACTTGTATATAGATTTGGCCTCCTTTTTAAAATAGGTCCACATTGAGGTCCCTAGGGTACAAATATAAACTTTGTCGTTTGAAGACATATAAAATTTAATAATTTATTGGTTCTATTATATGAGATATCTAACTGTTAAGTTAAAATTTTAATTTTGAGCCCTGCTTTTAAATTGGACCCCATTAAGAAGCAAAGGGTCCAAAAGTAAACTTTGTTTGATTTCAACAAAAATTGAATTTTTGGGGTTCTTTGATATGCTGAATCTAATGGTTTAGTAAGATTAGTAAGAAAATCGAGAATGGAAATGGGGAATGTGTCAAAGAGACAACAACCCGACCATAGAGCAGACAACAGCCGAAGGCCACCAATGGGTCTTCAATGCAGCGGGAAACTCCTGCACCCGGAGGCGTCCTTCAGCTGGCCCCTAAACAAATATGTATACTAGTTCAGTGATAATGGACGTCATACTAAACTCCAAATTATACACAAGAAACTAAAATTAAAAATGATACAAGACTAACAAAGGCCAGAGGCTCCTGACTTGGGACAGGTGCAAAATTTATGCATACTCAATTTAATATAATATTATTATCCTATTGTATACAGAAGTAAAACTTGTGTCTGATCCTATTTAAGTCAATTGTTCGAATAAAATAATCATTAACTAAAACATTCATATGATGTAGTTTTGCATCTTCTATTTAGAGCATGTTCAGTACCAGTAGAATTCAACAACAAAATTAATAAGCTATTATTATAATTTCTTTGTTCTTACTACTTTTCTTATGTTTGCAGGGAAAATTGACAGAGTGATACATCTTCTATGAATAAAAAGAGGAAATAAGTGTCTGCATCAGTAAATCATTATAACAACAAGACTGTGAAAAGAAGATATCAGAACATGAATTATGAGTTTTATTTCTTTTAAAAAGAATTGTTACGGAATATACCTCTTGTGATTCTAATGAAAACCATTGTCAACTTGAAGTAAAGGAAGATTTTATAATTTAATAGAACAGGAAATAAAGGAAGACTCATTTAGAGCATAACAAAGCACAATGTATATTTCTAATTAGTCTGTTAATTCAGAATAACCCATGTGAAGGAATTATATTTTACAGTAAACAACATACAATACACTTACAACTTCATGTTTTGCAATTGGTGAATTTTTATGTTGTACTAAGGTAAAATTTATATGACAGATGCATTACCTTAAATATTCACTGAACACATGAAAATCCAACATAGCCATTGCAAAAATAACTTGCACTTACATGTACATATGTTATTCATGTGATATTAATATGAAATTCACATCACGATCATGTGAAAATATAGACGTGAAATAACACAACTTTTACACGTTAAAATAATCGAAAAAATCTAAATGTGAAATTAACACAATATTTACACGTTAAAATCACGTTTAAAAATTTACGTGTGAAATTAACACAATATTTACACGTTAATATCACGTTAAAAAATTTACATGTGAAAATAACGTTACGTTTATACGTGAATATCACGTGAGCAGATTAAAACGTGATTATCACGTGAGAATCT